CTCGAGAGAGGGGGATACAACTCATTGAGTTCTTACGTACTCTAGCGCCTACAACAGACCCCCACTTTTTTTTCCTGGGCCAGCCCTTGGAGTTCTGGATGGCACTAGACAGGGAGGTCCAGAGACCAGTGGATAGTTTGGAGGGGGTCGGACAACTCTTTAGCGAGACTCTCGGCGATAGGCCTGCTTCCCTCATCTCTATCTGGGAGTTGGAGGAGCATTACGAGGGGATATATCCAGATAGAGAGGAGCTCGGCTGGGACGTCGATGATCGAGATTGGGAACACCTTAGCGACACAGAGCCTTGGGGAGAGGACGAGAGACCGTGGAGAGACGTGCCTGACGCGGGGCAAGACGACCTTGGCGCCGATTTAGACAGACCAGGCAGCGACGGTTGGGGGCATCTAACTCAGGCCGAGGGACGGGAGCATATCCCCTGGGGCCAGGCTGTGGATGCAGACGGAGACGAGGACGTGGACGAGGATATGCCAGATGCGGGAGACGATTAAGGATAGGGCATATCCGGGCATAGTGTAGAGAGCGGAGTAGTGGGGTGTCGGTTAATAGACACAGGGAGATAACTTTAGACGAGACAGGAATTGCAGTAAGCGCTGATAGAGATGGCGGACAGAGACACACTGAGAGTGACCCTTTCCTTGCGACGAGATATGATAGGGGGTTGGGAAGAAGAGGCGATGGACGATGTTGCGCGACGAATCAGACTCATGACCGAGCATGCTCTGGAGATACGGAGAGGCCAGAGATACGTCGAGTATACCATCTACTTCCATGAAGCTGACGGGAGAGTGCACAGCACCTACTCAACTATACTGAGCCTGAGTGGTAGAGTTGTCTGAGGAGTTAGTAACATCGTGAGATCGAATGCGTCGAACGGAGTAGAGTGGCACAGATCGAGTGGCGTGGGGTAATGAGGAGTAATTCGAGTGCATGGTGGGCATATGTCCTATTGCGAGACTCAGGCTCCTACAGGGTGAGGAGACTGACAAAGCCTAGGGAGACTGCGCTCGGGTTCGACGTACCTCTTCCTGCGCGATTGGAGGTTAGCCATAGGGTGTCACTCGGGTACGTCGGGACGCGGATAGATGAAGGACTGTTTCTCTGGACAGTAGTCGTAGAAGAAAAGGACCCGCGACCTTGAAGGCAGGTGGAACTGATAGGACATCTTATCTTTGATTGAACGCAGGAGGTCGAAATAGGACTTACGCTGGTCGGCATCGAAAGAAGTCTATGGAGATACGAGGCGTTGGCCAGAGCAGTACTAGATAGGAAGGCGGGATCGTTAGGTGGAGATAGTCGACCGAGGGTGCGTATCGTGTTCGGTTCGCCAGCGCGGGATCTTCACCCTGTGCAGGGTTGGAGGTGGGCGCTTCCGCTGTTCGTGATAGACCAGGTATACGGAGGGGTTAAGAGTCTAACACGAGCGGTCAGGCATACCCACCTTGCCCTTGGACTGGGGTTGGCACCAAAGTTCAAGGAGACCTACTTTGCCGTCAGTCTATGGTGGAGGCGCTTTGACGACGAGGAGTTGAGAGGTCTCATAGACGCGACGTGTTGGGTTGACTGTCTGAGACCGGTCGACTTGGTCGACTACTGCAGGAGGCGTGTGGAGGAGAAGTACGTTGGGATAGAGGACTTGAGGCATTTATTCACGGAGATGGAGGAAAGCCAGGGCGATCATCGGCTGGAGTCGAAGTGAGCAGACAGTTGGTGAGTGAGGGATTCACTTTCACAGTACTACTTAGAGCGCACACAATCGAGAGTCTGACGGAGGCCGAGTGTATGAGACGAGCTAGAGACTTGGTCGACGAGTATCGGCTGGGAGTCCTTGCTTGCGTCACCTTCCAGACGAAGGTGACTTATGAGGTAATGATACGGTCAGCAGGCTACTTGCGGACGAAGTGGTACTTCGACGAGACGGTGGCCGAGGCGCGAGCTAGAGTATAGGGAGAGTGGTGATGGACGCGTGAGCGATGAATAGCGGGGGATGGAAAATGAGGATGAGAGAGTGAAAAGAGTGGGAGAACGCGTGGTAGAACCACTGTCCAAACAACTCACGACAACTAGGGACAAGATACGCGAGTGTGAGAAGTGCGGAGACGAAGGCAAGTTGAGTAGGATAGAAGCGGGAACCAGAGGGATAGAGAGGTTATTCAGAGAGGACAGGGAGTTCTTCAGGAGGTGGCGTTTAGACTTTGTAGAAAGTCTGAAGACGAGGGATCGCAAGGATCGAAGTCGCGACGGTGCAGAGTCATCAACGAAGGCGACTGACCGAGGGAACATCGGACAAGGAAATTCTAACAAGGAAGGAAGTGCGAAGAGAACACCGGAGCAATGACAGCGAGATGAGCACGACGACTCGGAGTTCCAACGATGAGTATGCTCTATGCGTCGTGGGACAGATACATGGACCGGTCGTGCGTGTGATGATCCAGATAGACCACCTAACGAGACTTAGCGTCATCGATGAGGTGGAGTGTACTCGAGTAGCCCTGAGGAGTGCGCGTGAAATCGGACGTTGGGTAGCAATCGAGTGTGGTCGACTGATCAGATACATACTATGTCTATCTCCGTACGACGAGGAGTCGCGGGTCAGATCATGGCATGAGACGCCGACAGAGACTGAAAGACTATTGGAGGCGCACGCTAGAGTGGTTGGCGAGTTGAGCAAGGTAATCGTAGACGGGTCGACCCTCAGGATACTAACAGCACACAACAATTACCGGAAGGAGATGAGTGAGACCTTGCAGGACATAGAGGATTTTGGGGATCTGGACGACTTTGAGACGTTTTATCAGCATTTGGAGGAGTCAGCAGAGAGGATTCGGATGGCTCTAGCCCTGGTGGCTATGGAGTGCTCAGAGTAGGATCAAGGGATGAGTGGAGGTATAACCATCTTTGAGACGGAGTTGGAGGCAAGGAGAGAGAGGTTCCTTGCGGGCAATAAACCATCAGACGAGGAGTTAAAGGCAATCTGTGAGCGGTTGAGTTCAATAAGGCGCAGAGAGGTAATTCCGTATGAGGTGGTGACATACGAGTTAGTCGACAGCGGTTGGGAGCAGATACGCCTCTATGTTATCACTGTCCGGTTCCTTTCTATCGACGTGTACAACGTTAGGATTTATCTCCCAGTAGAGAGAGGGAGCGACCGGATCTACGGTAGATGCTGGGAGCGCGCAAAAGAACTGGTGGAAAGTGAGCGAGATAGGTTGCTAGCTCTGGGTAAGGAGGTTATCTGGGATACTCGGATAACACTCTTTCAGGGGTTGCCTAGGCCACCAATACCTCACCAAGTGGCGCAAGATAGGAACAAGGGAACTGTGATTGATTTAGCCCTTCGGTGTCGAAAGTTTGATGGCCGTAGGGGGTGATTATCCGCAGGCAGGAGCCCGCGTCGTGCATCGAGGATTGAGTGATCTAGAGAGGAGAGCGTCTATCGACATACGAGAGCAGTTACGATCTTGTACCCCGGAGAAGTTGAGGACGATCGCGACTGCCATCTGCAGGAGAGTGCGGGTACCGGAGACAGGAGTGCTAGAGATCAGGAGAGGTATTCGCTGCATAGAGGAGCAAAGGGGAGAACTCTATTTTGATTCTGGGATTCTTGGTACGGAGGGTGAGCACGAGATACGGGACGAGACCGGGAGACTCGTAGCGATTCTAAGAGTTGTCGCGGACTAGTGATTGAGCATTGACGAGCTGTGCAACCGGATGATCGCATAGGTCCGGACTGCGGATTATTTCTTAGGTCCGGGCTGCGGATTATTCCATAGGTCCGGGCTGCCGTAGTAGGCGACGAGAGTCTGGCCGACGTATGGAATCTGACGCGATGGGGACACACCCGAACATGGAGCCCCAGACGACTACCTATCGGACATCGCCAGACAAAGCCTTACGCGAGCTCAAGGAGTGTATTAGGCCACTCAGGTGTGCACAACCTGACGACGGCGAGCCCGAAGTGATGGGCAGGCCGATTCTCAGAGAGCCTGAGAGACCTCTGGAGAGACCATTAGAGAGGCCTCTAGAGAGGTCCTTGGAGAGATCACATGAGAGATTAGAGAGGGCGCAGACTGCAGCTCGGATGGAGGTCGGGACGGAACCTTCGAGTTATTGGAGAGATTCTCGAGATTCTCGCCGTTCACCTATGTACGATCGTAGGGACAGAGGAGATAGACGCTGACGTCGCCGTGATGAGTGGCGTGAGCCACAAGGTCGCGAACCAGCGTGGAGAGATAGAGACAGGCCTCATGAGAGGGGTACGTCACCGCGACGGGTCTTTGACCCACAGACAGGTGAGTCGCACGCCCTTCCGTATGGGAAGGGTGATCGCTACATCATAACTCACCCCTCGACCGCATTGGACACCAGACCTCCTGTCTTCAAGGGGCGCGGGATTACTGAATACCTCGTGAAGTGGGAGCTCCATGCGTATCGTAATCAATGGACGGAGGATGAGATCATTGATAATCTATTATTCAACTCCGATCCGAGCCTGAGCCAGGAAATCAAGGAGGCGCGTCCGGCCGACAGGAAGTGGGCCACATACAAGAGAAATCTGTATGAGCACTACAAACTAGAGGACAGTCGATACTCAATCAAAGACCTGGAATCGATGACTATAGAAGAGGACGAGAGTGTTCGAGCCTTCGGGAGGTGATTCCAGAAGGTGTCGGACGCTCTAATCAAGAGAGGGAAGCTTTCTGAGGTGGAGCGATGTACGATTTTCATTGTGCGACTACCAAAAGGAAAGCAGAAGGTGATACTCCGAGAACTTCCCCATGATGAACTAGAGTTCACGACCGTACTCAAACTGGCAATGAAGGCCTAGGCTGATGACTACAAGGATCTGGTCTGGAAGGGGTTAAAACAGAGGGATGTCCCCCTCTTTAGGGATTATGAGACTGATCGATGCCCAGACTTCCGTGACCAACCATGGGCGGATCGTCGGTTCCAGTTCGATGAGGATAGACCGCGCCGTTCACGAGATAGAGAGTCAATGATGGTAGAGATGAGGGAAATAATGAGAGGGATAACCAGAGAGATGACGGGTGCGGACACTAGGGCACCTGGCCATCGCGACAAGCCTGGATCCCCGTATTTATTACGATGGGATCGCAGAAATTCCGATCCATGGAGGAGTGTAGGGGAAAGGAACCCCCGCACGCTCGCAGACTATCGAGCTCGTGAGAGGGCCGAGGATGATCCCTGGAGGAGGAGAGATGATGAGATCGATAGAGATCGTCGCACCGACCAATATCGCCAGGACGATAGGTATTACAGGGGTGGACGATTCGAGCAGTACCCACGGAGCCCCAGGTACGACCGGAATCCTGATGGTTTCCGGAGCCCTGGGAACTTTACGCACAGGGATGGAGGAGATTCCCGCGACACTGGGAACCTGATCGGGATCGCAGAGACGGATATCGTGGAGGATATGATAGGGCGGACAGAGCAGGAGACAGACGTGCCGACTCCAGAGGAGACAGGCGCGATGATTCTCGAGGAGATCGGCGAGACGATTCCCGTGGGCGATATGACCGAGGAGGATATCCTGCGTCGTCAGGGTATCCAAAGTCATCCACTTATCCCAGGTCTCAAGGACCATCCAACCCAAATGCCAGAGCACTGGGAGTACCGCCGCCTAGAGCCGAAGAGGACAGGGCCACCTACCCTGAGGAGTACTTGCGTCTACTGCAAGGCGGATGACCATGTCAAAAGAGACTGCCCCGACCTCAAGCGGGCAATAGACGAGGGGATCGTAGTGCTTGACGACCGAAAGTACGTCCAGTGGGCGGATGACCTAGGAGATATCTCAATGTTTCCTTCAATGAAGGAAAACGTCGACGCCAGACAAGTACGCCCCAGCAAAGGGAAGGAAGTAGTGAGGAGTCGGAGCATCAGGATATTGATGTCGCTGGACGAGGACGAGCCTACGACGCCTATCCGAGTTGCGGCGACAAAATCCGCCAGACCATCATCATCAAGAAGACGGACACCGATTATGTGATGGCAGAAAAGGATGGACAAAGGATCGATTGAAGCACGGAGCTCGCAAGTTCACAATGAAGAGCTCATTGGATGATATTGATACAGTGGAGCCTCTCAGACGCGCGCTTAGACAACCCGTGCAGTGCTCGATATTCGAGTACTTGGCAACTTCTAGACCTGCGTGAAACGAGCTACAAATGATCATAAGGAAGACACACATTCCTCTCGGGGATGGGGCACAGGTGGCACCAAAACCAGAGGCCCCAACTGTGGCAGTTTCGAGTGTGACCGCCAAGGCAGACCGTGCGGCGACGGTGTTCCTTGATGGTAAGGAAGGGGTACCTCTCGACAAGTTTTATATCCTAGGGAGCGGGACGGTCGAGGTCATTCTTAATGATGAGGAGACCCTTGAAAGGGTGATCGACAATGGAAGTGAGGCTGTTATTATAGACGAGGGCCTCGTTGTACGGCTAGGGCTCGACTTAGACAGATCCTACCATTTCGAGATCGAGACTGCAGCAGGAAAGAAGCAGAAAGTCACCGGTGTTTGTCACACGGCGGCGATAGAGGTTGAAGGATTGCGCGTTCGGATGCCAGTGTTTGTTGTCAAGGGCTGCAGTTCAGAGCTACTCTTAGGACGCACCTGGCTGAGTCACGTTCATGTTGTCACGATAGAGCGACCAGACGGGAGCCAGATGCTATCGATTAAACGACCAGACGGTGGTCGGATTATGATAGAGACAGTCGAGTCTCGTGATCCAAGGAACAGAGCAGCTTTAGCCACCAGAGGATAGCCTGACAAGATTGCCCTCGGTAGTCGTTCCTTCCAATTCCGTGAGAAGAAATACGAAACGCTGCTGACCGAGGAAGAAGGGCGCATCGTCGAGATCGAGGACCTAGGCAGCCGTATCCTCGTGAATGGGAACTCCTATCCGAAGGACGAAGATGAGGAATTCGGAGGGATGATCTCCGTGTCTTTTTTAAGGGACCAGCCCCCTACGGGGGCCCCTACAGGGGGCGACCTAAGAGACACAAGACAGTAGCTGAGAAAGTCAAGCCTGCAGCGGTAGCTCGGGAGCGATCTGTGCATGATGGGATATTCGAGGGAGAGATCGCTAGAGAGATCAAGGAAAGAAAGAAGAAGAAGCCGCAGCGGTTGACAGAAGAGAGGATAGCACAGATGGACATAGGAGATGGGAACCTGACGGAGCAGGAGAAAGATCGAGTCCTGGAGGTTTTTAAGACATGCAACAAGGTTATAGCCTTCAGTGACGCTGAGAGGGGCAGGATTGATCCTAGGTTCGCGCAACCTGCCAGGATCTACACGGTGCCACATACCCCATGGAATGATGTCGGATGGAAATTTGCCCTGAAGGAGAAGGAAGAAGTGATAGTTTTTCTAAAGGAGAAGATGACGTCCCACGTGGCCGAACCATCTGACAGCGCCTACGTGAATTGGTGGTTTTTCATACGAAAGCCAAACGGGAAGATCCGTTGGATTCAGGATCTCCAGAAAGTGAATGCAGTCACCATAAGAGATGTCGGATCTATACCCCACGCAGATTTACTAGCAGAGGGAGCAGCGGGCAGATCGATTTATTCGGTTTGTGATCTATTTTCAGGATATGATGAGATACCCCTGGACCCTAGAGACAGGCATCTTACAGCGATGCACACGCCGCTGGGACTAGTCCAGATGATGGTGGTGCCCCTGGGATGGACCAATGGGGTCGCAGTGTTCCAGAGAGCGATGGTGGCGATCCTGAAGGACTTCATCCCAGATAAAGTCGAGGTCTTTCTGGATGACTTCCCGATTAAGGGACCGGTGAAGGATGAGACTGAGGTCGCACCCGGAGTCAGGAGATTTGTAGAGCAGCACTTGACTGACATCTATGCTGTACTTGAGCAGTTGGATGAGGCAAACCTAACGGTTAGTGGAACAAAGAGCAGATGGGCGGTATCGTCGATCAAAATATTGGGTTTTATCTGTGATTCGAGAGGACGACGAGCCGATCCGACCAAGTTGGACAAGCTCTTGAATTGGCCGACGCCGCTGCACAGTGAACGGAGGTCCGCCAATTCTTAGGAGTTGTGGGGTGCTGGCGGATCTTTATCCGAGCATACGTAGAGAAAACCGAACCATTACGGACTCTCCTTAGGAAGACAGAGAAATTTTACTGGGATTTCTCTCAGGAACTCGCGGTCTTAACACTTAAAGAAGAATTCAAGGAGGGCGGCCGAATCTTGGGGGTGTCATTCTTCAACGACGAGACCAATAGGTCATTCATAGTGTCTACGGATGTTAGGCCATGCTCAGTCGGAGGACTACTCTCGCAAAAGGACGCTGATGGGAAGGAAAGACCGTTGAGATTTGAAAGTCGAACGCTCAACACAGCGAAACGCAACTACAGCTGGTTCAAGAAGGAGGTATTGCAGTCTTACGATGCCTGGACATGTTTAGGCATTACATTTATGGACGACGATTCATCCTACGGGTAGATCCTACTGCGGTAGCATCAGTCCTACAGAAGGACTTCACCTTGACCGATCCTACGATCGCTAGATGGCTGATCAGAATACGACTCTACGACTATACTGTCGAGAGAATCTCGGGTGCAAAGAACGCTGTGGCTGACGGACTTTCACGCATCCCGATTGAGGTCGAGCGGCCGATAGTGGTGACAGCATTAACAATTACTAAACCCAGACGCACCGATCAATTCTTAGTGAATCTTTATGCGGGGAAACACCGTGCGATCGGGTTGCACCTGTCTGGTGAGGAGAGTTCAGATTCAGAGATTCGGAGACAGGCAGCTCAGTACTGCTTGAGGGCCGGACATTTGTTTCGCAGACCCATTGGATTAGGGATGCCTCTGAGAGTAGTCTGCGATCCAGAGGAGAGGCAGGAGATAATAGTGGAGCTTCATGACGGGGTAGTCGGTGGACATAAAGGAGTGAAAGGAACGTACGAGAAAGTCCGTAGATTATATTGGTGGGAAGGACAGTACAAGGATGTCGAGAGATACTGCGTGACCTATGAGGGCTGTCAGAAGAGGGCCCTTGTCAGATATAAAGAACCGCTTCATCCGTCCTATCCAACTAGACCGGGCGAAAAAGTGCACATTGATCTAGTGAAGATGCCAAGAGGCGTCGGGAATATAAATTATGTAGTAAACATCAGAGACGATTTTACTGGATTTGTCGACGAGAAACCCATGAGAACGAAGGCAGCCAAGGAAGTTAAGAACTTTGTTCTAGAATACCTATCAAGGTATGGGTGTGTTAGTAAGATCGTGATGGATCGAGGAGCAGAGTTCGTGGCGGATGAGGTACAGAGCGTATTCAAGAAAGCGGAAGCTAGAGTCTCGATAGCTACTGCCTATCATCCTCAGTTCAACGTGCCGGTAGAGCGAGGACATCAGTCGCTGATAGCATCACTTGCTAAGTGGTGTAGAGGGAAAGAGAGCCGTTGGCCGAAATATTTTCGATATGCGATATGGGCAGACAACGTCACGGTGCGAGCGAGTACGGGATACCCACCATATACTCTATGGTTTGGGAGGCACTGCCCTCTACCTATAGAGTTCCACGTAGACAGCTGGACTACGGTGGATTGGACTGATAATATGACACGAGAGGACATCCTAGCGGCTAGGACTAGACAGATAGCATACGGATTGGAGGATGAGCTCATGACTGCCGCCAATCGGTTGGCAGTTCAGCGAGAGAAAGGCAAAGAGAAATGGGACAAAGACGTCAGGATAAGGAAAGAAAAGATAAAAGTCGGTGATCTGGTGCTTCTGTATGATGCGGCGTTAGAGAGGACTTGGATAGGGGAACTAGCTAACAGATGGATGGGTCCCTACCAAGTAGTCAAGGCATTGACCTGGGGAGCTTACATGACTGCTGAGCTAGATGGATCTAGATGGAAGGACCCCGTGGCGGGGGCTAGATTGAAGTTGTTCAGGGCAAGGGAAACCTTTGCACCTACTCTGAGACTATCCGACCCGAAAGGGAAGGGCAAAGCAAAGGTGATGGAAGATAGAGTGTCTAGACGGCACGAGGTAGGTGAGAGTTCGAAGAAAAGAAAAAGAGTGGAAACGAAAAAAGTCAAGGGCTTAACATTGGGAAAGAAGAAAAAATGGTTGTTTGTGTTACGGAGGCCCAAACGCCGAGTTCGTGTGAGACGAGGGGGATCCCCTACGGGGTTGCTTCTCCGACGAGGGAAGAAACCGAGAAAAACAGTTGTCGCTAAGCCCAAGCTGCCGTGGCATAAGAAGAGAGAAAGACATCCCCTTAGTCCCAGGATTTCAGAGAGACCGAAACACAAAACAGAGAGACGCTGGCATGGGCCGCGCGCGAGTGTAATTATTTTAGATCTTGTTCGTTTCGTCTGATAGAGACTGAGGGCTCGACGGGGGCGTCGAGAAGAGGTCCGGGCTTGTTTGTCGGGCGACCGAACCCCAGTCGGTCACCTTAAACTCGGCATATTCACCTCTAGATTAAATGGTAAGACGAGGATAGAACAGGACTTTCGCCTGACGCGCCGGGAAAAATTAGGGTAGAGAAGGGACCCCTAATTTTCTCCATGTCGTCTTACAAGAGTAATCGTGAAAAATAGTGAAACGGGTAGCCGCACTCGGCACATCTAGGGACCGTCATTTCCATCCGTTCAGAGCGCTAGACCCGGATTGGCCTGCCGCGGAGAGGCATCGCGGGAACTGACCTCGCCGCAACGTTTTTGCAGCATACGACTGAGGCCGAAATGAGGCCTCGAATTTTTGTCTATTTTAGTACCATAATTAAAGATGGGGAAAAGGGATTAAGACCAGTAGGGAACAAGAGAAAAAACATAATATCCCTTAATTTCTTTATTTTTCACGGCATTTCATTCTAGGGGGAATACCCTTGTTATTTTATGTTCCCTGCAATGAAATCAAAAACATAGAAAAATATTAAAAATSGTAAAAGAGAAAAGAAACAAAAGGAATTCGGCCATTTATTTAAACTTTCTCGGAATTTAATTTTGGGGAACTTACGGTTAATTTACTATTTCAGACAATAGAATTAAGGAAAAGGAAGAATGATTAAAA